AGCGGCAGAGGAATGGATAAGAAGTTGTGGTACATATACACAATGGACTATTACTCAGCTATTTAAAAAAATTCATTTGAGTCAGTTCTAATGAAGTGGATGAAACTGGAGCCTATTATACAGAGTGAAGTAAGTCAGAAAGAGAAACACCAATACAGTATATTAACACATATATATGGAATTTAGAAAGACAGTAATGACAAACCTATATGCAAGATAGCAAGAGACAGAGATGTAAAAACAGACTTTTGGACTATGTGGGAGAAGGTGAGGGTGGGACTATACAAGAAACATGTATATTACCATATGTCAAACAGAAGACCAGTGCAAGTTCGATATATGAAGCAGAGCGTTCAGAACTGGTGTTCTTGGACAACTCTGAGGGATGGGGTGGGGAGGAGGAGAAGGGGGTTCAGGATGGTGGGACACATGTACACCCATGGCTGATTCATGTGATGTATGGCAAAAACCACCACAATATTGTAAAGCAATTAACCTACAATTAAAATAAATAAATTATCTTTTTAAAAAAGTGATCAAATGTATCCAATCCTATATATAACTGTGGTTACAGAGCCCTTAACATAATTTTTAAATAGTAAAATAAATATTTTTAGCAAAACAAACACTGAGAATTTAATATCAACAAAATTCAACTTATGAAAACTTGTAGGATTTGGCTAACACAGTTCTTGGAAAGAAATTTTAAATTATAAATGGCTACATTTAAAAAAGAAAGTTTAGACTTCCAGTCTTAGGTAAAACATGTAAAGGGCATGTAAACTGCCACTCCCATCCTTACAATAAGAAAAGCGCTGAACAAACTAACTCAACAACATTTCTTGGAGCCACCAGAGATATGAGGCAGGATGGCAAACCACCACCTCCAAATCTACAGATAAGAAAATCCAGAGACTTACAGCCAAGATCTGCTTACCTGAAGCAGAAGCCTCCAGAGACATAAGCTGGAAGGAAAATTTAAATGGTAGTTTCATGATCTGGTAGAGGCTGTGTATGGGCTAGCATGTGACTTAGGGAGGAATCCCTGAAGTCATAGTCTTAGTGGAGCTGTAACACTTTTGAGAGTTTTATCTCTAGAAACTCCATGAGGTTCTTACTCAGAAGTCAAGAAAGATTCCCCTATAGCTCAGGCAGAGGGAGGGGGACATAAACATTATGAAAAATCCCAGAGCATTTTCCATAATGGAGGCCAACTCACTTTATTAGGGGCTGATCCCACCTGGTGCAAGGATATTGCAGTGATTTCAGACTCCTCTAGCCTTGCTTTTTCACCTAAGTGATTATATGGTAGGGAAGGTAAGAAGCTAAGAAACACTTTGCCCCAGACACATGGGCCCACTAAAAGACTGAGATTTAATCATTAGACAGCAGACAGTTTCCCCTACCCAATACCTTACCTCCACACTAACAGGACTCTAGTATAAGATTACAACAGAAAAGAGCTATTAAGCACACAGATTCTTTCTATGGAGGAGTTCTCAGGGAAACCCAAAGAGAACAGAGGTGGCAAAACAAGGAAACTAGAGGAACTTGAAGCCTTACAGAAAGACAGTGTAATACTGGCACAGGGAGATGTATCAGGTGATTAACAGTTGTGAATATATATAAATAATAGATGACAGGTATGAAATTATGAGAAGAGACTAGACTAATTCAGTAAGTGGTATTTGCATAACTAATTATTTATAAAGTTAAAAAAAAATGGATGCCTACTTGATACTGTATGAGGCAAAATAAAGTAGGTTAAATTGAACTCATCCCAAACCATGCCTAAAATGTCACTGGTTTAAGTGACATTTAACTTATTTTCTGCATAAGTTACATATCTACTGCATGTCATGATGAGGGCTCTGCTCACTATAGCCACTCGGCAACTCAGGTTGATGGAGACTTCCATTCATACTCACTGGTCAGAACTATTAACACGGTCCCATCTACTCATAAGAATGGCCAGAAAAACAATCCTATCCCATGAACAGAAATCTTTATTAGGAAGCAGTAATGCCAATGACTTGATGGCAAGCCCAGTGAACCCACTGCCCATGGCAATAAAGAACAGTTGACAATAATTCCTTACATTTCTTGGCACATTTTTTCTTTCCAAATTCCTATTCTCTGAGTACTATGTACTCTTCTCTACAGATTACTGTTCTACGTAATGATAAGCTCCAAACAATTTCCCTTCTCTGGAAACTCAAGAGAGCTAAATCACATCTCTTCCCAAGGGCACAGCATTTATATTCTTCAGTAGGTATCGCACTATCTCCATAGACTAAAAAAAGCACAGATGCTCGGCTAAGTGCTTTTCATTCAATTCATCCGATCCTGAGAAAAATTCTTTGAAATAGGTATTATTATTATTCCCATTTTAAATTAGCACAACTGAGGTAAAGAGAGGGTGATTTATTCAGTTGGTAATCTGAAATCAGGCAGTGTGGCTTCAGTGCTCCTGTCCCATCAAGGCCCATTTAAATTCCCTTGTAGGTACTGTTCCTTTCTCATTAAGCCTCATCATTTCTATCCAGCACACTCTGTCAACCCTTTCTCTGCAGTCCTCTCCATCTACCCTCTTATCTTCTATGATGCTCTAGTTCCCAGCTTCCTAAAGCTGCCCAACAGGAAAAGCAGTCCAGCAGAACCACAATTTTCCTGAATAATTAAATCAAGCAGTGTCACTCTGCCCTCCAATCCTACCTATTCCATATTCCTCTATCTTGGGAAAGACTGATCCAAAATGTTATTCTCAAATGTTGTCCAGGGTAGAAATAGAAAGATCACCTATTAAAGGATTAAAATATATTTTACATGAAGGAATCCCTCTTGAAGCCTCCTGAAGAAGAGTGACTGTCCCTGCCCACATGCTGCAAGGAGTTACCAAAGCTTAAAGAATAGGAAGGAAAGAAGGGGTGGGGACTATAAGGATGGGGAATGGGAACAGGAATTATGATCTGCTGACCACTAGAGGTGCCTCCCACCTTTTCTTCCCTTGATGACAGGCCAACCCTTGGCATAGAGAGTTGATTCTAGGTCTCCAGGTACCTGAGTGAATTGCTCACAAGTGGGTGAGTCTCAGGTGTGAGTTTTTCTTCTTCTGATTGCTAAGAAGAAATCACGTTGCTTCTCTGATTGCTAAGTATGCTGATCCTGGTTTGAAGGCATTTCCAGTCTAAGCGAGGAACACAGTGACATTTTCTGTAATAAGGATTATCTCTCCTCTCAGGTGGTGCAGTGGTAAAGAATCTGCTTGCCAATGCAGAAGACACAAGAGACTCAGGTTCAATCCCTGGGTCAGGAAGATTCCATGGAGAAGGAAATGGCAACCACTCCAGTAGTCCTGCCTAGGAAATCCCACGGACAGAGGAGCCTGAAGGGCTACAGTCCACGGGGCTGCAAAGAGCGGGACGGGACGGCACACAAAGCATGACCCCTAGTGGTAAGCGCCATGAGCCGAACTGTATTCCCCCAAAATGTGTATCTCGAAGTCTAAACCCCAGAGTGGTGGCATTTGGAGATGTGACCTTTGGGAGATTATTAGGTTTAGATGAGGTCATGAGGGTGAGGCCCTTGTGGCTGGATCCACATCCTTACAAGAAGAGATGCCCATGTGAGGACTGAAAACAAGCCTCACAAGAACCTGACCATGCTGGTACCCTGATCTCAGACTTTCGGTTTCTGGAACTGTGAGAAAATAAATTTCTGTTGTTTAAGCCTCCTACTCTATGGTATTTTGTTATGACAGGCCTATCAGACAAAGACAGTAGAGATTTTACATTACCTCATTTAATCTCCCAACAAGTATATTTGTTTTGTATGTCTAAACTAGGATTCAACTGTCTAACAACTATAAAGTACAGAGCTTTTATCCTGACAATGTCTTCTACATCTTGGCTCTTGTCCAACCCTGTCAGTAAATAGTTCCCTTGGATGAGTCTCTAATCTTTCCTAAGTCCAAATTTACTCTTCTGACATTAAGATAACTAAACAGGATTCCCTCTAGAGTGCTTTAGCTGCACAGAGATTATGCATGAAAGCAAGAAAATAATGCAGAGATTATTTAGAACACAAGAGGTTTTTTTTTTTTTTTAAATCCTCCTGCTCCTAAAAAGTTACCAGTACAACATCATATAAACAAAAAAGCAGAACAAAGTCAAAAATGAACTATTATTCAGAAGCTCAAATACCAAGATCCTTGACTTTACAAAGATAAAAAATTCCAATCTTCCTCATCCTTCTTTAATTCTGAACTTAAACTGGGCTGGAGGGCAATGCTAGTTTCTGCCTTAAATTATAAGCTAGTAGTAGCTGGCTCAAAATGCAAAGACCCATTTAGTGTTACATAGAACAGTTTTCTAGTCTTTACTGTATTTTAACAACTGTAAATGGCAAAAAAAAAAAAAAAAAAAGCCACTTCTTTCAGAAATCCGCCAAAGAAAAAGACTAATTTTTAACACGAAGTAACTCATAACACTTTTCACAAATACACCAGTCAAAAAAAGAGATATTATACAACATTCAGTATCCCTCTATACTAAGGAAACTTCAAATCCATGTAAATGTACACCAAAAACTCTCCAAAGAAAATCTCCACATTAAAAAAAAAAGGTATTTGCAAAGCACTGTAAAAAAGTAAAAAGAGTCAGTAAATCATTACTGTAAGGCAGTTATGGCAGAATCTGCACATCATCGTAACCTGCTGAAAAACCATTTTAAAATATTGTTTCACACCATTAACATAATGCCAGGGATTTGCTTCAAAAGAATCTGGTAGAAAGGGAAGAGTGGGGGAAATGCAGGAATGGAAACAAGACAGTTCATGATAACTGCTGAGGCTGAATAGGGGGTATATAAGGATTCATTATCCAATTCTAATTCATGTATGTTTGACATTTCTCCACAAGAAAAGCTAAAAACGTATTATACAATCTTGAAGAATAAATTTAATCCTCATATCCTAAAAATTAAAAAAAAAAGACTAGTACCTTCCAATCTTTGAATTTTCGCTTTCACCGAAATAACAGCTTCAAAGGGTGAAACTCTCAGCTCAAAACAAGTTCCAGTCAGTGTTTCAATGAAGAGCTCCATGGTATCATAAAAAGGAAGTCTGTAGTAAAATGGTCCCACGTTATCTTCATTGAAGAATGGAGGCTCTTTTCTGTTATCCATTACTTTGACTTTTCTAATTCCTCTGGAATATGCTGTAGGCAACTGTATTCCAGTTCTAGCCAAATCAGCTTTGAACACTGGTTATATATATGGTTGCTCATGTTTTGAGTTTTATACCTAAAAAACAAGAATAATTTTTTTAACAAGCCCATGTGAAATTCTCATTCCTCCACAAAGATTTTCTGAACAACTCTGGCCTATATCAATCTTCCAGACAGCCCAGAATTCATTTCAGTGCTTACTATGTCTACTCCTAAACTATTCAGTATTGTCTTTGAAAGCAATGTCTACCAGTTAGAATGTAAGATTATTAAGAATAGGTATATTTGCTATACTTTATCTTACTAGAGCTCAGCAGTTACTTATGTATACTGCCTGCTGAACAATTATGTCTTCTTGTTAATGATATTTAAACCAATGACTTCAACATGTAGGTATATATTTGCAAGACCTTGAATGTTATGCATATCCTTTCCTGAAATACACAAGTTACATTTATAACCCATATAAAGCATAGTGTTGTAACCATTGTACATTTGAATCACACTGAATGGGTAAAACCTCTAAGTGGGAGAAGAATATCTGGAAGACGAGGTGAACAGAATGGGAACATGAGGGCAGTGCAAGAATCAAGAAGAAAAATGAAGGATATATTTTTTACTATTTTTTTTTTTTGCCAAAGTATATAGCACTGAACTCACTGCAATTTTCATTAACAATGTAAGGGAGCACTTATTTCTTAAAATGTGTGGTTTAATTAATAATCTATATCCCCATTCTATAGACATGATTTTCACAGGCATCTGAAATCCAGATACTAGACAGACACCTGAAATCCAACACATCCAAACCTCTCCAACCTCACTGATTAGGACTTAGTTCAGGCCATAATTAGCTCTTAATGGAGCAATTTTGATAGCCGAGCTATGATCTTTGACTCCTGCCCCTCATTCTTCTGATCCATTCTCTATAATGTCAGTTATCTTTTTTAAAAAAAAAAAAGAAAGTTTAATAAAAACTGGATTAAGGCATCATGTCACATAGTTCAGAAATTATTTTATTCTTAATTATATTTAAGCAGGGGGAAAGGTCACACAAAATTTTTAAATCACTTAATATTTGACTTTAGAATGTCCTGCAGTGAAATCACTCATTCAGACTAAATGAGGAAAATGAATCTAAGATAGCCTAAAGCCTGAATTTGATTTCCATTTAAATAAACTATTTTCAGAGCAGTTTTAGGTTCACAGCAAGATAAAGCAGAAAGTATAGAGTTCCTAGAAAGTACAGTCTCCAAGTACAGAGGAGAGTGAAAAAGCTGTTTTGAAACTCAACATTCAAAAAACTAAGATCATGGCATCCAGTCCCGTAACTTTATGGTAAACAGAAGGGGATAAAGTGTAAACAGTGACAGATTTTATTTTCTTGGGCTCCAAGATCACTGCAGATGGTGACCACAGTCATGAAATTAAAATACGCTTACTCCTTGGAAGGAAAGTTATGACAAACCTAGACAGCGCATTAAAAAGCAGAGACATCACTTTACCAACAAAAGTCTGTATTGTCAAAGCAATGGTTTTTCCAGTAGTCATGTACAGGTGTGAGAGCTAGACAAGACAGAAAGCTGAGCTCCAAAGAACTGATGCTTTCAAATTGTGGTGCTACAGAAGACTTTGAGAGTCCCTTGGACTTCAAGGATATCAAACCAGTCAATACTAAAAAAAATCAACCCAGAATTTCCATTGCGAGGACTGCTGCTGAAGCTGAAGCTCCGATACTTTGGTCACCTGATGAGAAAATCCAACTCCCTAGAAAATACCCAGATGCTGGGAAAGATTGAAGGCAAGAGGAGAAGCGGGCGGCAGAGGACGCGACAGTTACATAGCATTGCAAACTCAATGGGCATGAATTTGAGGAAACTCCGGGGGACAGTAAAGGACAGGAAAGCCTGCAGTGCTGGAGTCAGTGGGTTGCAGAGTCAGACACGACTTAGCAACCGAATAATAGTTTCCATACACCCTTTGCCCGCACACACGCACAGCCTCTCACTACCAACAACTTATAAGAGTAGTGTATTTGTTACAATCAATGAACACATTGACACAGCAGCATAACTCAAAGCCCACAGTTCACATTAGGGTTCACTCTTGGTACTGCAAATTCTACTGATTGTAGTAACATCATTATAGGAACACACAGAACAGCTTCACTGCCCTAAAAATCCTTTGTGGTTTGCCTCTTTATCCTTCTCTCCCTTCAATCCCTGGCAACCACTGATCTACTGATCTTTTTACCATCCCCAAAGTTTTGCCTTTTTCGAAATGTCATACAGTTGGAATCATACAGTATGTAGCCTTTTCAGATTGGCTTCCTTCATTTAGTGATTTGCATGTAAGTTTCCTCTACGTTTTTTCACAGGTTGATATAGCCCATTTCTTTAGAGCACTGAAAAATATTCTGCTGCCTAAATGTATCGAAGTTTATTTATCCATTCACCTACTCAAGGACACCTCTTGGTTGATGCCAGGTTTTGTCAATTATAAGTAAAGCTGCTATAAACATCCATGTGCACATTTTTGTATGGACTTAAGTTTAAGACTTACTGGAGTAAATACCAATGAGTATAACTGCTAGATCTTATGGTAAATATATGTTTAGTTTTTAAGAAACTGTCAAATTGTCTTCCAAAGTGGCTGTTCTATACTGTCTTCCCACCAGCAATGAATAAATAGCTCCTACTGCTCTACTTCCTCATGAACATTTGATGTTGACAGTGATCTGCATTCTGACCATTCTAACAGGCATGTAATGGTATCTCACTGCTTTCATTTGCATGCCCCTGATCACATGCAATGTAGAGCACAGTTATCTTTTTAAAATGTAGAACTGATCATGTTATTCCTTAGCTCAAGGCCCCACAATGGCTTCCCACTGTCTACAGATTTGACTCCTTAGAAAGGCTCCCAAGCCCTACTTCATTTATACACATACCTCATCCCATCCTGCAATACCTGGCATTCTCTCCGCTAATCATCTGCACCTGCAGCTTCAGCATATCTTGGTCTCTATATGTTGCTCCTGTTTTCCTCTCCTCACTGCCATCCCCACACCTGGTCACTTGACAAGCACCTATGACCTTTCAAGACTCAACTCAAATAGTAGCTAGTCCACAAAGCCCTTTATGGTTACTCCCCTTCACACTCTGACCTCCAAAATACATTGCACCCATTACAGTCAGTTTCATTTTTAAGATGGCTTTTTTACTCTACTTAACTGTAAGCTGCTTGAGGGATTTACCACCCCATCACTTAACACAGTATTTTGTACATACTGGTGCACATTAAAAGGTTGTTCAATGAGAGAGTAAATAAATTTTCACCCTCTCAACTGATTTTTAGAGCAAAACTATAATACAGGGCTTCCCTTGTGGCTCAGCTGGTAAAGAATCCACCTGCAATGCAGGAGACCCTGGTTCGATCCCTGGGTTGGGAAGATTCTCTGGAGAAGGGATAGGCTACCCACTCCAGTATTCTGGCTCATATTTAATATAATGAAGTATATTTAATATAGTTAATTAACTGATTAATTAATTAATTTAATACAATTAATTATAATTATATATTATATAATTATATTAATATAATTAATTTCCCTATAATTAGGGTACCTGAATTGCATTGTGCATATACTGCAAAAGGTCCTGAAGATGTGATGGAAGAAAAGCTTTTGCTGGCAGCACAGCTGCTTCAAGTGCTGTTATACTATTAAAATAATGACTAATAAAAATAATAACACAAAGTATTGCGCTAATACTACTGCTGGCGATAGTGGTAAAAGACCATTACCTTCACATAAAAGCCAAATAAATGGCTGTATTGCTCAGGCTGTGTTTCTCATTTCCTTAATACATTCACAGGCCTGTAAAAATAATGAATGTATAAAATGAACCCCTAACCCCTTTTTCCATTCACTGAAATGATTGCTTTTGAATTCAAAATATGGTTTTGGATAGAATGTGGATTCTTTAGAACATACTTATCATGCTGTATCAAATAAGAACATACTACAGAATTATCAGTGTCTGTACCCTCAAAGCAAAGAGCACTTCTATCTACATAGTAAGAGACTAGTAACCTAGGTCAGGGGTCAGGAATATTAAACTGAGCATTAGAAAAATAAAGCCATGGGTGACCAGTGCCTGCCCAAGGAATTCAGAGACAAGACATAAAAAGCATTTCTTTCACCACAGTAGTCTTCCACAGCAGTACCCTGAATACAACAAACAAGGGGTAACATAAAGACAAACTTGGAAACCCTTCATCTACAATAAGAATGGATACAGTAATTATGGTAACTTAGAAGAGCATTACTGGTACTAGAACACTACCACAAATTTGGGTCCTAATCATGCAGTAATTTTCAAAATCCAACAAGAAGCAAGACTGGTAATCAAATCTGAAACTGAAATGTATGCCTCTAAGAAATAATTACACCTTTCCTCAGCAATAGAAATCACTGCATCAGGACACTTTCTGAAAGTTGCGGGTGAATATGCTTGACTGAGCTTATTATGGAACCTTAAGATGTTGGAAAATGAGGGGCAATGAAGAATCAAAAACAGGATGGAACATGATACAAGAACAGCTTAAAAAAGAAAAAAACAGAAGAGGAAAAACGAAGAATGCAGGGGGAAAAAATTACTTCCATAATTTTTACCAATAATTTAAAAAAAAAACAAAACATGCTTAGCTATTAAGAGTAATGGCAGCAATCATTTTTTTTTTAGCAATCATTTCTAAATCAATTTCCAAAACATTTCTCTTGTCTTCTGAAAAAGTTCTTAAAATACCACCACCACAGATGTAAGGGAAATGAAAGACAGGTAATGCAGGACCCATGCTGAATAACTAATTTCAGTAACTCAAAATCAGCTTTATCCTCTCTGTTCTAAAGAGTATGTCATATAAAAGCAGTTCTTTTAAACTCTTCTCCCAACATGAAGAGATCCAGCATATTACGCAGCCCTTAAATATACCAACTTTTAATTAACTGTTTTTACTAATGTCTGGAAATATCCCTAAGTTTTAAATATAAGCTTCAGAATTACATTCACCACATCACGCATCTGTACCCTAAGCTCTGAAATCAATTTTCTAGCGGGATTGGGAAATTCTTCGGAGCCAAAGCCTTCAAAGTACGGACATTTGAAGAGGACGGAGTCACCTGCGCAGCCCGTGCTCCTCCAGGATAAACTCCGGCTACCCACACGCACTGGCCCGATCAGGACCGCAGAGGTCAGGCTCCGCGTCAGAACAGGCGACTCGAGGGCAGCACCTGTCCAGCGGGACGGGCACCCCGCGTCGCGCTCGCGGGGGGACGTAAAGTGGAGACAGTCTCCTCCGCCAAAGCAGCCCACCGCGCCGGTCTCGGGGCAGCGGCGGCGGAGGGGGGCGGAGCCAGGCCAGCGACAACAGCGCTGCCCGGCTCAGCGGCCCGCGACCCTGGGCGCCCTCCCCAGCCAGCCCGCTCGCCCTCACCGGCTCTCTTCCACTCGCTAGCCCGCCCGCAGGCCTTTAGGGAGGCGCGGCCCCTCCAGCGACGCTGCTGCAGGCACCGACGAGCAACGCTCCGCCGCCGCCGCCGCGACCCCGCCCCTTTGTGACACCACGTACCAATCGCTCGCCGGCGCTCGCGTCGCCCTCCAATCAGTGGGGCCGGGGGCGGGACCTGACCGCCAGAAGCCGGCGGTTGCTCGGGAGCCCAGGCTTCCTTCGCGTTCGGTGGTGGTTGTCGGTTAGGAGAAGCCCGGATGTTAATCCTTTATTACTAACAGTGGCCGCCTGACTAGGGCCAAAGCGGGAGGCAGGAGACCAGTCGCACAGCCTTCTGGGAACAATAGGGTTGGCCTCTGGCCGGACAAGGGTGTGGACAGCACCTTTACCGAGACCAACCTAAGGTGCTCTTAGAGGTGCCTGACTTGCTGAAGCCACAGTCCCAGTCGATGGTCTTCCAAGAACCTGTGCACTTCTAGTGCGGCCCAGGAGGCATGCCTTGAACGGAACCTTCTCCACGCACTTCACTGTCCCCTAATGTTTCCAGTCCTGCCTACCTTATCTGAAACACGGGGCCATTGCCATGCCTGCTTGAAAGCAAGGGGGAAAGAAAACAAGTTCTGTAGGTCTTATCCATTTATTCCTCATCCAACCTACTGAGAATTGTGTAGAGTTGAAACTGAGTGGGTACTTTGGGTTCTTAAACTGCAGTGTTGGGTATGCCAGCCAACTTCTGTTTTCTGATTCTCAAGCTGTTGAGCTCAGTGTACACCATAACAGACAACACAAGCCTTTCAGCCTGACATGAGCCTCCATTGCTTCTTTATCGCATTTCCTAGAGGTGTTCTACATCCAACCCTTACGGTTTTCCAACATAGCCTATTGTTTTACTAGGTGGATTAGTTAGCTGACAAAGTAATCTCCCCCTCCCAGAAGCTTTTACTCATCCTCCTCTTGTGACTCAGAAGAACCAGTCTAAAATGAACTGCAGTATCTAATCTTTTGTCACCCGTCCTTTCTCATTCTCTGAGACCCTACCCACCAATTTATCTCCACAATTCAGAAAACTGAGAATACACTTAAGTTTATAAGGAGGTACTGCGCTTTCACACATCTTCAAGCTGTCTCGCCAATGATTCCTTCTTAAATTCTAATACTGAGTAGATTGGAGCTCCTTGAGAAACAAGATTATTATCATTGTGTACAGCCTATAATGGAGTGAATCTTACTGAATTAAACCTTAGCTTCCAAACCTGCCTCCCCTCTCAGTCAGGAGAACTGAAAGAACAAGCTATAGAGTCAGGCGAATGAGTTGATGTCAATGTATGGCAATAACCACCACAATATTGTAATCAGCCTCCAATTAAAATTAAAAAAAAAAAAAGCCTTGGGTTCCAACACTGGAAGCCAGTTCATTCATTATCATCATCATCTACCAAGTTTCAAGTGCCAGATAGTTAATAAGGATCTTTGCATATTCTCTCCCATAACAATCCTGCAAGGTTGGTACTGAGGCCCCTACTTGACAAAGAAGGAAATAACTAAGGTAAAACAAGTTGCCTACACTCAAAACAGTTCTAAGTGGCAGATTTAAATCTAGGTCTCAACACAAAAATCCAAACTTGTTCCACTATGCTACTTTGCTTCCAGATTTCGCATCATCTGTGAAATGAGGGCAATATCTATCTGGTAGTTATGGAGACTGAATGTGTGTGTGTACATGCTCAGCCAGGTCCAACTCTTTGCAACCCCATCAACTGTAGCCCCCCAGGCTCCTCTGTACCTGGAATTTTCCAAGCAAGAATACTGGAACAGGTTGCTATTTCCTCCTCCAGGGGATCTTCCCAACCCAGGGATCAAACCCACATCTCCTGCGCCTCCTGCACTGTCAGATCGATTCTTTACCACTTGAAAATAGCAGGAATAGTGCCAACCATTGAACCATTAAGTGTTTAGTCCCCTCTCCCTTTCAAGCATCTCAAAATAGCAATTTGAATATTTTCTAATTCTGTTGTCTCTTGAATTCCCTGGAATCAGTCCTAATGGTGGGTCAGCAGATTTTATCATTCCAAAAGAAACACATGTTTAACAAATGCTTCCTGAGTGAGGAAGATCCCACATTGGGCTCTGACTCAAGAGCATACAAGTAACTCTGAATACAAATAACCTAAGGGACAGAAGGAAGATGCATTAAATGCATAGGGAAAAGGAAGAGGAAACTAGTATGAACTGTCTGGGTCATTCCCTCAGCAGAGCAGGACAAACAGCTGATCTGTGACAGCTATACAAAATCTCTTGAGAATAAGCAATTCTCAATTCAATTTTAAAGTATCCAAGAAAGAAGAAAGATGTTAGTGAATTCAGAATGGGTGAAGCCAACTGGGTCTGCTTACAAGATTGCACCATGTTTACGGACTGAATACTCATGAGCGAGAGAGCACCGCACAGGAAAATAGACTAGAAGTGAGAGCCATCCACAGTGGACAACAGTTATAGAATATTCCCATCAATGTGGAGTTCTATGGAACAGTGGTGCTCTAGAAGCTGACATTCCCATCCTCAGCATTTCTCTCCCTACCATTATTTGGGTTCATTCCGCCTCTTTCAAAAAATAATGCAAAGCTCCAAGGAATGGAAATGGATGCATTACAACAAGGGTCAGCAAATTGTTTCTGTAAAGGGCCAAAAAGGAAACATCTTAAACTCTGTGGGCCATCCAGTCTCTGATACAACTGTCAACTCTGGCATTTACCTACTAAGGGTGAAAACAGCCATCAGTTCAGTCGCCCAGTTGCGTCTGACTCTTTGCGACCCCACGGACTGCAGCATGCCAGGACTCCCTGTCCATCACCAACTCCCAAAGAAATGAATGGGTATGACTGCCTTCCAGTAAAACTCTATTTACAAAAATAAATAAATAAATTATAGAGGACTGTAGTTTGTCAACTCACTGTAGTAGACCTGTAAGGTATCTTCAAAATTTAGTGGAATGCTCTCCTAGCGTAAAGACACATGAAGTATATAATCTCTCATCCTCTTCTTCTATCTAGTGCCCAGGCTCTAAGTTAGGGCTCCCATACATTTAAGGAAGGCTTCTGGTCATGTCAAGCATTTGCTTCCTCTGGGAGTCCCCACCCACCCATGAAAGGCAAAAATAGGTTTCTTCTCTAACAGACCCTAAACCATGGCCCTACCAGGGCTAATCAAAAGATGGTTTTAAAAAAAATAGTAACACTGTGAAACATTTATTTTTGTTTGCAGAATTAAGCATGATTTTAAAACCAGTACAGAAAAATACTAAGTATGTTGGGTAAGAGGTGAGCAAGTTGTTTCAGTATTTGTTTTCTATAATTCAGTTAAGGAACACAGAAGACAGCATCATTAACTCAAGGATATAGCTGAAAGATACCCTGTACACTCTACTGGCCTCCAAAGGCATTCAAAGGATCATCAAATATGTTGGAAATCTTCTGTCCAGATCTTGATTCAGTCACTGTCTCTGAAGATCGACTTTTTGATTTGGTTGTCTTAGTCTGGATACCAGAGGAGAAGATATCATCTTTAAAAATGGGGGGAAAAAAAGTGTCACAGAATAGGCAAGAAAATGAGTGCTTTTAAGACATATCTACACAAACCAGCAAAGACTCAAGTCTGATAATAGCATGGGATACCAAAAACCACTAAGAGGAAGCTAAGCCTCTTAAGACTCCAGTCCTAACTCTGCTACTAACCAAGTCTTCTGATCACATACAAGTTATAGTTTCTCTCTGAGTATAATTTTCTCAGCTACAAAGCCATGTGTGCACAGGAAGGAGAGGAAAAGCAGAAGGATGAGTTAGTTTTAAATCTAGCCCATGACTTTACCATCTGTGACAGTATACTTATTTCTACTCTATATTCTTTTCCCTTTGGATTCTAAAAGGAAAAGGCACTAAAAATAAGCAAAGGAAAATTCCAATCTCAGTCTTTAAATACATCAATGTGCAGGATCTCAATGCCAAAAATGTAGTCTTTAGGTTACTTTAGATGATTGGCAGGAGGCACACTAAGATAAAAGTTAAATTAGACTTCACAGTCAAGGCTAATTCACTTGTCTAGGCTCTTCACTGCTATGATATGTATTAAATTTCTTGACATCCATCATAACAAAACATTGTTTCACCAAAATGACTAGTCGATTTATTTATCCACCTTCAGTCTATCTCAGGAATATAGAGCAGGTCAAAGGAAACCGACTGGGGAACGTCTTCCAGGAAAGAGTCAAGACAAAGATAGCAAGAGAAATATCAAGTCACTGAACAGTGATGACCCTCTGTCATGTACAGAAAGCCAAACTTACCTGTATCATCATCAAATATAGACTTAGCTTCCACTTTCTTTTTGGACTTTTCTTTTGGTTTTACAGTTAGGTCAGCAAAGATATCAATATTATCATCGAACAAGTTGGAGTCAAATGTTCTTTCCTTCTCTCTTGTTTTTTGTGAGGGTTTAATTGCTTCTGTAGCAAATATATCATCCTTGTAAGCCAAAAAACAACCAAAACAATTTTTAATCAAGGTTTTTTTTTTTCTTTACTACATACATTCATTTCGACAAATTGCAGAAATGCCAACTGCCACGGTGTTCTGTAACAGCCCTGTGAGCTGCTCCTCTGTCTGGAGTGTACTACTCCAAATCTCTGCCTGGCAAAGTCCTTCTCATTCTTCCAGGTCCCAGCTAAAACACAAGCTGTACAGAGAGCCCTTCTCTACCAGTCCTACCAGAAGAACCACCTCCCACACCAATCCACCACTCTGCCCCACTGTC